ATTTCGCGGGTTAAGACTCAGACTAGCTCATCCTGAAGGGACTCTTGGTTCAGTGATAGTCCTTTCGGCTCACAGAAGACTCTGATTCTATCCTTGGATGGGTGCAGACGCTAGGCATAGTTTCTTTTATTTATTTATTGATACCTGCTACCCTTGAACACCCAGCAGTAAATAGGTACCTGGGTGCTAGCAGACTTATGAGTTGCTTCCTGGAAAAGAGGAATCGAAAGAACCATAATTGAGGCAACCCACACTGACTGGCTTTCTCCGATTTTCCTGGGTTACTAAGAATCCGGATTATCAAAACCACCGCCATCACCGTTGCCGCCGCCGCCGCCGCCGCCACCGTCGCCACCGCCGCCGCCGCCGCCACCACCGCCGCCGCCGCCACCCCAACCACCACCGCCGCCGCCGCCGCCCGTCGCCCCACCGCCGCCGCCGCGCGCCGCTCCTCCCCCTCCCCGTCCCCTCCGCCTCCGCCTACCACCGCCCCGCCTCCACCACTACCACCGTCGCCACCGCTACCACCGCCGCCGCCACCGCCACCACCACTGCAGGGCTTCCCCACCCAACCTTTCTCGCTTGTTGTCAAGAAGCTGAGTCACTCTCCCCTTTCACCCCACCACCGTCGTCCCCCCCTTTCCCATCACCTCACCATCTTCCTCCCCCCTTTTTCAATACCTGCTATCCCTTCCCCACCACCAGCTGGGGTACCCATCTCTGTGTACTTCACACTGTCACAATATGCTACGCCCTCTGCACCTTAGTCATTACTGCAAACACGTGGGAGTTAATTTTGTTAGCGTGCATCTTGCAACACCAGTGGGTTGGTTGATTTATTAGGTTTAAAGACTATCCACTACACGCTTCATGTCACCTGTCCACCACCAGTCAAGGATACTTTAATACCTAAAATACGGATTAAATTACACTGTATATACACCGAGGTAACATCTCTCAGTGTATTAAACTGAAGATAAACATCCTCGAGTGTATATACGATGAGAAACACACCTCCAAGTGTATATACACTGAGATACCCTGTGTATATATATTGAGATACCTCTCTGTGTATATACACTGAGATACCTCTCTGTGTATATACAATGAAAGATGCACACTTCTCGGTGTATATACACTGATGCACCACTCAGTATATATAACGTTGTGGTAACATGAGAATCAAACAAGTTGTGGGAGCCTGGGGCAGTTAACTGCTTGTTGCTGGCGGCAGAGCTGTAACCTCCCTGACATTGCTGCCAACCAGGGACCTTCTCACGTTTCGCGTCCCACATCAGCTCATCTTACAACCGAAAGCTTGTGGGTTCGATTCCCGTATCAAGGCGAGGCGTAAATCTAATTACCACTGTCACCATCCATTGTCACAGTGTGGGCTGCTGTCACTGGTTGTCACCACCCAGTATCACAGTGTGGGCTGCTGTCACTGGTTGTCACCACCCAGTATCACAGTGTGGGCTGCTGTCACTGGTTGTCACCACCAAGTATCACAGTGTGGGCTGCTGTCACTGGCTGTCACCACCAAGTATCACAGTGTGGGCTGCTGTCACTGGTTGTCACCACCCAGTGTCACAGTGTGGGCTGCTGTCACTGGTTGTCACCACCCAGTATCACAGTGTGGGCTGCTGTCACTGGCTGTCACCACCCAGTGTCACAGTGTGGGCTGCTGTCACTGGTTGTCACCACCCAGTATCACAGTGTGGGCTGCTGTCACTGGCTGTCACCACCCAGTATCACAGTGTGGGCTGCTGTCACTGGCTGTCACCACCCAGTATCACAGTGTGGGCTGCTGTCACTGGTTGTCACCACCCAGTGTCACAGTGTGGGCTGCTGTCACTGGTTGTCACCACCCAGTATCACAGTGTGGGCTGGTGTCACTGGTTGTCACCACCCAGTGTCACGGTGTGGGCTGACCAATCACTCAGCTGCTGTCTAAACAATCATGGCTATACCTGCTGACCAATCACAGCTGCTGTTACAACACATCTCTCCTTCCTCCTCTGGGTTAGTATAAGTTAATTATGTCATCTTAACGTTAATTTCTCTAGATTTCCAACACAAAACAACTGGCACAAACTACCAAACATGGATATAATAAAACGTATGAAGGCTCTATATCTGTGCCTTACATTAAGGCCCTCTTCAGCAGATTATAATTTACCTTTGATATACCTTTGAAAAGTTTCGAGTTTCACTATTCTCGGAGCCCGGCCATGGGCCAGGCTCGTCTGGTGCTTGCCTGGTCAACCAGGCTGTTGCTGCTGGAGGTCCGCTGCCCCACATATCCATCACAGCCTGGCTGATTTGGCATCTGGTGAAGATACTTGTCCAGTTTCCTCTTGAAGGCCTCTACACTGGTTCCAGCAGTGTTTCTAATATCTTCTGGTAAGATGTTGAATAGTCTAGGACCCCGGATATTGATACAGTGTTCCCTTATTGTTCCCATCGCACCTCTGCTCCTCACTGGGTTTATTTTGCACTTCCTCCCATATCTCTCACTCCAGTATGTTCTGTTATGGCAGTGTGCAGATTTGGGACCAAGCCCTCGAGTACTTTCCAGGTATATATTATCACGTATCTCTCCTCCGCTCCAATGAGTACCTGTTCAAGACTTGAAGGCGTTCTCAGTAATTTAGGTGCTTTACTGGTTCAATGTGAGCCATAAACGATCTCTGTATTTGTTCCAGCTCTGATATTTCTCCTGCTTTGAACGGGGCCGTCAACACTGAGCAATATTTTAAACGAGGGAACACTAGCGATTTGAAGTGTGTCACCAGTGGCATTTTTTCCTTGTTATGAAAGTTGTCAATACCCACCCCGTGATCCTCCTGGCTGTCGTGATCTTTGTCTTGTTATGGTCTTTAAAACAAAGGTCAGCTGATAAGTCTTTTATGTGTTCCTTTCGTTCTATTTGGTGACATATAAGTTTACCACATATACCCCCACCGTATAAGTATGTTATCCTGAGGTAATAACGATCACTCGCCATCCTGCCCAAATACCTAGGAAAACAAATACTTTATTCACGAGGAGGCGCTAAAGCCATAAGGGTCATATTGCGTCTGGAAAATGAAAGCCAATTAGGTCTCATTATCAGAAGAGTGTTGCTTTAATTCTTTAATCACGAGCCCTTCACCAACACCAAAGCTGGAAGGGCTTAGAAAGAAGACAGGCACTGCCTGGGTGGCAGTACAGATCTCTGAAAGTAGGTCTTTGAAAGTGGGCCTCTCAAAGTGGGTCTTTGGAAGTAGGTCTCTGAAAGTGGGTCTTTGGAAGTAGGTCTCTGAAGGTAGATACTTGTAGAAATAGACCATACCCCCGGCCGGGATTGAACCCGCGGTCATAGAATCTCAAATTGTCTCTTATTGTGGCTAGCTGGTCTAGTGGCTAACGCGACGGGCTGGAGTTTTGAGACCTCGGGTTCAATCCCGGCCGGGGGTATGGTTTGTTTGCAATCGTGTCATTACGATTTCTTGAGTCTTGTAGAAATAGCAACGTATTTTAAAGGTGGATGCAACACCACGAGCCATGGCATCCCTACTTCCGAGACTCAAATACAGTGGTCCCTCGTTTTTCGTAATTAATCCGTTCCTGGAGCAGCTACTATAAACGAAATTTACGATTTGCGAATCAATTTTCCCCATAAGAAATAATGTAAATACAATTAATCCGTTTCTGTCACCCAGAAGTATTAAAATAAAAAATATTTTTACATGAAATATACATGTAGTACATAAACAATACAATGGGAAATGATGAATGAAACATTAACAGCATAACACTTACCTTTATTGGAGATTCTTCTTAGTGTATGGGAGACTGGAGGAGGAGAGAGAGTGGATTGTTTACAGTTTATAAGGGGAATTCCCTTCCAGCAACACCTCAGGTACCAATTGCTTCTCTTCTCTGTTTCTTAATGCCATTAGGACCACCTTGAGAGTCACTCTAGTCCTGTCTCACAAAGTAACTGTGGAGAGAGCTCTGTTTCTGTCATCTCTTTAACACTTCCCTAAAATGGTCCAAGACTTTGTCACTGTACATATTTCTCACCTTCTTTACCACAGGCTTGGCACTAGGAGCTTTCTTTGGAGCCATGGTAGCTTATTTAGTACTTGCAAGCACTAAAATGAGTGGAATATTATGAAATATTTCGTAGGAGCACATGAGGGGGCCTTCACTCACTGGTAAACAATGCCAGACTGGCTGGGTAGGGAGGCCTCCCCGGCTCACACCGTGCGTACGCGGCTCACACCGTGCGTACGCGTCCCGGACGAACTATTTGCGAGTCAACCTATGAAAAGCGAGTCCATGTTTATACGAAAATACCCCTATGATTGGCGAAATTTACGATTGCCAAGAACTACGAAAAGTGAGGGACCACTGTATTCTGGATTATTGTTGAACAAGTGACATGCGGCCTAAGTGTAGTTGATAAGCTTTAAACCTCATTAATCAACCAGCTGAGGAGTGGGAGAGAACAAGGCAGAGACGAACAGGAAAAAGATCAAGTCTCGGGCAAACACTGCTGGAGATGACACACTATAATGTATGTTGGTGGAGTGTCAGGGGTGAGTGTTGGTGCTGCAGATGATGATGATGATCACACTGGGTAATGTGTGATAATTAACCTATGATTGATTTATCTTCCCTCTGGGGTACAGAAATAAATTAACAACAGCGATGAATGCGGTGATCACTGCTTTAAGAAACTACATTACCACACAAGGCAGGAAGGAGGACCTTCCACTGACACTAAAATATATTCATAACGGTATGGGGGTTGCAGCGATGGCTACATTAGAACACTGGTACACAGGTAACATAACCTACCATGATCAGATACATGTACAACAGTGCTGACAGCAGTGATAGCTACATTAAAACACGGGTAACATGACCTACCATGATCAGATACATATACAACAGCGCTGACAGCAGTGATGGCTACATTCCAACACAAGTACCCGGGTAACAGGACCTACCTCACTGAGCGCTTGCTCACAACACTGTCCCACTGGCAGCACTGGGATAGCTCTTGTTCCAGATACTCGTGTTTTATCTTATGACAGCCCCCCCTCCCTCTCTTATCTCTCCCGTCCCTCAGATTGAAACTTCTGTGATGCGCCAAAGTCCTTCAGCGTGACACCGATGCAACAAAGGTGCTGAGATGATTTACATGAGTATGTAACGTACGTCTTATGAGAGAGAGAGAGAGAGAGAGAGAGAGAGAGAGAGAGAGAGAGAGAGAGAGAGAGAGAGAGAGAGAGAGAGAGAGAGAGAGAGAGAGAGAGAGAGAGAATCTCTATCGACGTTGGTGACTCATTTCTTCGGGGGGAAAAGAATCAATGAACGTCAGGGAAAATTCCAGCGTTTTCTTCTTGAGGAGTCTCAAAGCATGTTACTTCTTTAATTAAAGAAAACTTGATATATCAGCAGTGTGCTGCTACCCTATATTATAGTCACCCAGTGGGACCCAAAGCTAGCTACGTATTCTGTAGTATTCCATCACGCAGGATGGGTCACATACACAGTGTAGAAATATGTTATCCTGAGCTAGGTGACTTCAGCGGGACAATCAGGATATTATCAAGTGTTCTAGCAAGGCTTCATCAGCTACGACACTTTCGAAGCTTTCCTTCCAGCAGAGCTGGAGTTACTATCACCTGGGATGGATACATGACACATCAGTATGGTCGTGATGACCAAGTCTACCCAAGTCTTCACCATCAAGCACCCTCAGTGTCAACACCAAGCACCACCACCAGCATCAATAATAATAATAATAATAATAATAATAATAATAATAACAATGTAATAAAACACATACTCTGAGGCTCTAGAGAAAATCAACAAGGTTCTATCTAGTACAGATGTAATTTCATAAAGATGTCATATGCTGTGGTTATCTACATACTGAGGACACATAAGTGAGGTTGCATGTATTGTGGTGGCGGCAGAACACTCAAATATGTGTTGGGCAAGGGTGTTGCTTCAGCAATATTCACTCAACAAGCTTCCTTTCCCAACCAGGGCATAATAATTGGTCAGATTAAGGTATGGCCACACCTGTGCCTTTATTGTATACTGTCTCGGAGACTGGATACTGTGTATGGGTTATAAGCTAAGTATAAGCCATCGCTATTAACCCATGGGTTACAAGATAGCATAATACATCAGTGCTCACCAAGTTCTTGACACTAAGTCAGCAGTATTTACCAAAGTCTTGACACTATGTTAGCTATATTGACCAAATTCTGTGACAGGTATGGAGGGTTCGATTCTCTGATGACTGCCTGGTCAACGAGGCTGTTGGTGGTAGCAGCACCCATGACCAAAGCCATTACTACCTGTGCCACAATACACCGGTACACTAAGGTTAACGTGCTCTATAATACACCTGCTGCACTACCTCACCTCTCTTCCATCTTACTGCTAAAAAATAAATCTACAAATACATTAACATCAGTTACTCCTTAGTGAAGAAAAAAATATGGATTAGAAAGCAGTGCAGAGAGTAATGGTTTCGCGGGAAGATTAGGTTAGGTAAGATTCGTCAGGAAACAGGACAAGTGTTTCCTGACGCGGGTCTTAGTCAAATAACCCGCCACTGGAGCTTTTGGTCATATGACCGAGGCGACCTTCAGCTGGCTTACCGATCCACCCCTTTAAAAATTAAGGTTATAATTATAAATTCGTCATGGTTTTGCTGGAAGTTGTTCCATGTCTGGCTGAGAACTTTCTCTAAGTAACCTAGACCGTAGGTACACACCTTTGCATCAATCAGAGCATTAGAACCTTTATCATTAATAAATGCCTTGATCAATGCATCCTTTTTTTTACGTACAACCTGTGGGTATCACTAAACCAGTTCCACCATGACCTAGATACAACATAGCTTGAGTGGCGAGTGTGAAGGAATATGAAGATAACAACGTTGCGGAAAATACGATGAGACAGCCATGGTTAACTCCTGGCTGGTGTTAGTGTAAACATCCTTAACTGTTACATCGGGGATTACTGATAGCTATTTTTTTCTTCGCTCCTATAAGGTGTCTGGATTAACAGGTCAAACAATTTTGCAATTTTAAGTTTATATTGACATCAGTGCGCATGGTCTCGCGGCGCCCGACTCTCATTAAAGGAGATGAAACAAGAGAAGTCTGTCGTGTGAGCCCAGCTAGTAAGTTTATTTAGGCACAGATGCCTAATTATCTGGGTTATCCAGGATAACCCAAAAAGTCAGACAAGGTAACTAGGAGCTGAGACAAGCGAGTCCAAAGAGGAAATATGTTAATGCCAACTTGATCTTCCTCCTGTCTTCCCTCAAACTCTCCCAATGAAAACAACTTTCGTGAGCCTTTACCCCAATTTCACCCACTCATCCCCCCCCCCCCCCCCAACCAGATACAGAAAATATAACCTGATTAATGTCAGCCCAGGAGGCCTTATCGAAAATTAGACACACTTAACGATATCTGAGATAAGAGATTCATATCAGAGCACATGCTTCAGCTCCAAGATTTTCAACAAACAAGTAACGTCTCTGGTCAAAGACCGCAGTAAAACCAGCTTAACCGCAGAACACAGCTTTTTAAAGAATCTTACACTGACCAGTTACCAGTGACGCACGTCTCCGCTACAGTGCTAACAAAAAGTTGATTCAACAATAAACTGGAGACAAATTGGAACAGGAAAAAACAAGTTAGATGGAAAATATTTGGAAAGTAGTCAGTGGCACTAATATTAACTACACTGTTGAAGGAGCAGTGACACTACCCACACTGTTGAAGGAGCAGTGACACTACCCACACTGTTGAAAGAGCAGTGACACTAACCACACTGTTGAAGGAGCAGTGACACTAACCATACTGTTGAAGGAGCAGTGACACTAACCACACTGTTGAAGAAGCAGTGACACTAACCACACTGTTGAAGAAGCAGTGACACTAACCACACTGTTGAAGAAGCAGTGACACTAACCACACTCACCTAATTGTGGTTGCAGGGGTCGAGACTCAGCTCCTGGCCCCGCCTCTTCACTGATCGCTACTAGGTCCTCTCTCTCTCTCTCTCTCTCTGCTTCCTGAGATTTGTCATACCTCGTCTTAAAGCTATGTATGGTTCCTGCCTCCACTACATCACTTCCTAGGCTATTCCACTTCCTGACGACTCTGTGACTGAAGAAATACTTCCTAGCATCCCTGTGACTCGTCTGAGTCTTCAGCTTCCAATTGTGTCCCTTTGTTTCTGTGGCCCTTTCTGGAACATCCTGTTTCTGTCCACCTGATGTATTCCATGCAGTATTTTGTATGTCATTATCATGTCTCCCCTGACCCTCCTGTCCTCCAGTGTCGTCAGTCCGATTTCCCTCAACCTTTCTTCGTAGGACATTTCCCTGAGCTGCGGAACTAGCCTTGTTGCAAACCTTTGTACTTTCTGTAATTCCTTGACTGTTGAAGGAGCAGTGACACTAACCACACTGTTGAAGGAGCAGTGACACTAACCACACTGTTGAAGGAGCAGTGACACTAACCACACTGTTGAAGGAGCAGTGACAATAATAAAGTACTATACTGTATCAATCTGTCGTAGCTAATAATTCCACAGAGGAATGCTTGATAATATTCTCATCACACTACCGAAGTCTTTCACTATTTCATTATTATGCGCACGAAACACATCCTCTTTGATGGAATATGGCTGAAAAATATATATCTAGCTATTATTCCCCCAGTGTAGCTATGCTACAGACTAAGTTAACCAATAATGTGAAGTATGACAGTGAGGTAAACACAAGTTTATCCACAGGTTTCCTAGAGATTTGAACAGACCTCAGTTCGAATATCCAAGGAACCTGTGGATTGTTACAAATATTTATTACGTTTTTACTGTTCATACTTTGCTAATGTTGTCATAATGTATCATAGAAAAGAGTACCAGCACCATTTGAGTGTGTCCAAGCTTGTTAAATACAAAAATACATGGTGCTTGCAAGATTTTGTTACTGCTAGACTAAGGCTAGGCTATATATAAGTATCTTTGGCAATACTGTTGTTGCTGTTAAACTAAGGCTAGGTTATAAGTATCTCTGGCAGTACTGTTAAACTAAGGCTAGGTTACAAGTATCACTGACAGTACTGGTGTTACTGTTAAACTAAGGCTAGGTTATAAGTATCTCTGGCAGTACTGTTAGACTAAGACTAGGTTATAAGTATCTCTGGCAGTACTGTTGTTGCTGTTAAACTAAGGCTAGGTTATAAGTATCACTGACAGTACTGTTAAACTAAGGCTAGGTTACAAGTATCACTGACAGTACTGGTGTTACTGTTAAACTAAGGCTAGGTTATAAGTATCTCTGGCAGTACTGTTAGACTAAGACTAGGTTATAAGTATCTCTGGCAGTACTGTTGTTGCTGTTAAACTAAGGCTAGGTTATAAGTATCACTGACAGTACTGTTAAACTAAGGCTAGGTTACAAGTATCACTGACAGTACTGTTAAACTAAGGCTAGGTTACAAGTATCACTGACAGTACTGGTGTTACTGTTAAACTAAGGCTAGGTTATAAGTATCTCTGGCAGTACTGTTGTTGCTGTTAAACTAAGGCTAGGTTATAAGTATCTGGCAGTACTGTTGTTGCTGTTAAACTAAGGCTAGGTTATAAGTATCTCTGGCAGTACTGTTGTTGCTGTTAAACTAAGGCTAGGTTATAAGTATCTCTGACAGTACTGTTGTTGCTGTTAAACTAAGGCTAGGTTATAAGTATCTCTGGCAGTACTGTTGTTACTGTTAAACTAAGGCTAGGTTATAAGTATCTGGCAGTACTGTTGTTGCTGTTAAACTAAGGCTAGGTTATAAGTATCTCTGGCAGTACTGTTGTTGCTGTTAAACTAAGGCTAGGTTATAAGTATCTCTGGCAGTACTGTTGTTGCTGTAAACTAAGGCTAGGTTATAAGTATCTCTGGCAGTACTGCTGTTGCTGTTAAACTAAGGCTAGGTTATAAGT